ATTTTTTGACATTTAATTATTCCAGCTGCTGTTAGAAAAGGCTATAAACGATCGGCCACCTGCAGGATCCTCACATGCGATAGCCTAGTAGCCGGGACAACTTCTTTATGTTTACAGACGTGACGTAATGACGCAGTGCCATGCTCGAATTTCCCGCGAAAACCTACCCGTACCACTCAAATTAGAAAACATTATTATAAGATAACCGTTGTGAATCGGGCTAAAGTAAGGCGATAGTTTTGAACACTGTATGGTTATGCACTTGCTCAAATATTGATTTTGGATAATTTTTAACCAAAAAAAGTTACGGACTGCAGCTTTAATTTACTGTACTGAAGATACACATACATTGCTTCAGAAGACAGACATTCTTCAGAAGACAGATCCCACTCTTTTTGGAGCAAAAATAGCATAAATAATGCTAATTTATATCTAGCCTGAACTACTCCTTTATTGTTACTATTGTATTTTGATTATATAGAATACTCAATGTTCAGTGAATGGCCTTTGAACTTTGTGCATCATACCAACAAACACCACTAGATGTCATCCTACTCTATCAGGCTTTTTCTTCTAACCAAATTAGCTCATTTCATTAGTGCAAAAAAAATCACTTTACATTTGACTGTGTGTGTTGTAAGGTTGTAACACAGTATACTCACATAGCTCTGCCAATAGACCGTCAGAAGCTGCCACATTTCCAACAAGTGACATGTAGACGAAGGGTCCCTCCTGCGCGGTCAAGCAGCCAGAGATGAGCAGACAATTACAAACAGGTCAAAAGTGAACGTTCCTGCATGCACCTTTGTACCTACCAGAGTAAAATGAACAATTGCGTCGTAAAACAACCACACGAGGACCCATCGATCAACAGCTGAACATTTATTCCCCCATTTTTGCGCAAAAACAAACCCGACAGCAAACTGAGCCACACACGCGAGTAGAGAATAAACCGTTACTTTAGTGAAAAGTGCAGGTTCTTCGCCTTCTGCCATTATTTAGTGCACGTTTGCAGTAGTTCTTTACTCTATCTCAATGGTTGAATGACATATCCAGGCCCCGCCCATCGTTCTAATGGTGGCGCTTTGCAGCCACTAGGTGCGCTCGACCTGTAGCAGACGGCAGTCAACGAGAGTAGCCGCTTGCAGTCGGGGGCGGAGTTGAAAATGGAGCCGTCAAGCCGGACACTTTCTGCTCCCGTTAGTGACGCTCGCGCGGTGTTTGCATACTCTATCACAGATGAAGTGAATTAAATGCAATATTTGTCAAATACACAGACGTTTCAGAAACGTTTTCATGAGCAACAGACACACTTTTTATATAACGTTACTGCTTAATACAGCGCCATCTGTTCAAGAATAAAGTTAAACGTAAATATATACTATTTAAATACTAATAAAGTGGGGATATATATGCTTTCATGATAAACGTACTCGTGCAGAACTCTCTCTCCACTTCATCCGTTCACGTCACAGAGCAGAGTACGTTTTGGCGGCAATTTGTTTTATGTTTTTACTGTCATCTCACCGAACGAACTGTCTAGAGCGCACTGTACTGCGCGGTGACGTATCTTTACGTACGTTACTGTTGTACGTATCCTGTCAGCTGTGCAAACTTGCGCAATCTGTAGTCTACGCACAATGACGCAAATCTACAGAACGGGTCCAATGAAACACCTCGCCTTAACTCCAATAATGTTTCACTGCAGAATCACTGCACCTTTTATCATGATCTTTTACCTAGAAACCCATTATAAAATGTCGTAAAACTGTAGTATGCATCCATAAGACCATTTAATTGTCAAAAAGATAATATTACAGTTACCATACAGGAGTCTGTGTCCCATCTGCTCCGCACTACCCCTGTTCTACGCACATACACCATCATCTAGGCCTACTCCCCCCCCCCTAGCGCTGGGAAGTCCGACTCATTTCCGCGATTCGGACCTTTCCCAAAATGAACCAGTCCAAAAAAACGATCCAGCAAATTTTCTTAAACTCGTTGACATATTACTTTTCTGAAAAAGTTAAAATAAATCAATACGTAAATGCATATGTTATCACTGATTTTTATTCAGACGTGTTAATAAGCAATTTCACGTATCCCGTTCAATTTGTTGCATATTTGATTCAGCTCAAAAGTGCATAAAGTGATTTAGAAGTATGATTTGCATATACAATAATTAAAACTAAAATTCACTTGGCTGATTTTTGTGTGTTTTAATAAAAATAACATAAAATAAATAAATAAAACGTTCGTATGCGTGTTGATAAAACATACAATCAGGACATAGCCTAAACATTTCCTATATGGAAGCCCGTTTCCGCCACTGAATAAAATAAATAAATAAAAAGTTAATTGCGGTGATTACACTTCTGGCTTCTGACTTTTTTTCTCGGAATTGCGAGTTTATATCTCGCAATTCTGACTTTTCCCCCCTCAGAATTATGAGATATAAACTTGAAATTGCGAGTTGTAAATTCCAATTTTGAGGTGGGAAAAAAAACAATGTTCTCAGAATTGCGAGTTTCACAATTCTGACTTAGGCTAATAACTTGCAATTGCATTTTATAAAGTCAGAATTAAGAGAATTGCAATTCTGAAAAAAAGTCAACATTTCTAGATATAAACGTGCAATTCTGTAAAAAAAAAAAAAAAAAAAAGTCAGAATTGACGAGTTTATATCTCACAATTCTGACTTTATAACTCACAATTGCCGAATTCTGTGGAAAAATGTCAGAATTGTGAAGTGACATGAAGTGAAGTGACATGTGGCCAAGTATGGTGACCCATACTCGGAATTAGTGCTCTGCATTTATCCCATCCAAAGTGCACACACACAGCAGTGAGCACACACACACCGTGAACACACACTCGGAGCAGTGGGCAGCCATGTTTTGCTACGGCGCCCGGGGAGCAATTGGGGGTTCGGTGCCTTGCTCAAGGGCACCTCACATATTTACGAAAATTAAGGTTCATTGAGTCGTGACTTGTGAACCGGTTCATTAAAAGATCCGACTCAGATGAACGATTCAATTACGAATCGGACAGCGCTACACCCCCCTCTCCGCCCGTCGGTCGGTACTACAGACACACACATACACACAGAGCCATGGCCGAGAACGCCGGCTTGGAAAACCATCGCATTAAGAGCTTTAAAAACAAGGGGCGAGATGTGGAGGTAAGTCCACCAGAGACCTTGGACTCTGGGTTTTATTTCAGTTCAGTTTCCTCCTCCTGAGTCTCTGTGGTTCTGGTTTTATGGTGTCGGATCGGAGCGGGTGTTTGTGGATCCAGCAAGAGCATCATGCGGAGCGGGCGCGGCCTAGATAGAGGCCTCTTTAAACACATTTGCCTTCAATATACACCAGCTCTTCGCGGCTTATACACTGGCTTGAGTTGGTATAGCGCATTATTTAGTCGTGTGACATCAAGACGGGTTTGTTTATTAGACCGGTTTAGTGGTTAAGCAGTTCATTTTTCATTTTAAATTACGCTGAGCCAAAACATGCAGATTTATCGTGTTAGCATGTGTGCTAACGGCTAACTGGTTAGCAGGGGGCAGATTAATCGTCCAGCAGCCCGTTTATTCGTGTTTTTTCGTACCCATACTTTTAACATTCATGTATAGAAGATAAACACCCTAAACATGATCACATAATGGGAAATATAACTTGCGAACCAGATATATGCGACAGAGACAGGTGTGTTAACACCGGCTTTAGCAATCTCTCCAGAACTGAACTAGTAACCAGTCATACCTCAACATCTGACCTCTTTATTGCTTGTTTAGTCACGCCAGGTTGACAAGCCTGTTGTAGTTGATTTTAGTAGACGTGTTCATTGATTAGAGCGGGTTGTGGTGTTTTAATAAAGATGTCATTGTGAAAAGACAGCTGCTTCACATCTTTTCCTCTTCAGTCAGATTGCCCTTTGGTGTGGCAGTTAGCATCTAGACATCACCTGTAGATACACCAGAGCTAAATAAACTTGATTTTATTGCCTACAAACTGGAAGGGAGACCTCCAGACGGTCGTGCTCCTGACTGCATACCCCAGTGTAGGCTGTAACAAGGCGACCTAGAAATACTAGCAAGCCAGGTTGTGCAGTAAAATGGTAGCTTATATAATGCAGCAGTGGAGGTTTTTTTTGTTGCCACTGTTGGCTTGAACACTAGGCGACTAAAGATATAATCTAATTTTTATACTGTTATGTTTAAGTTTTATGACATGCCTTTCGGTTAGCTCCTCAGGGCTGGGTGATGTGATATTGAAATTTTAAACCAGGTCATTTATATTCATCACTTACCATGGCAGTGATAGACATCACAAAAAATAGACTTGTGTCTACACCAAATTTATAATCCTCAAGTTTCATAATTCAACATAAATGAATGACTCCAACCTACAACTACTATAAGTATATAAAACTTTATCCACATACACTCATGTAATCAATATATAGGCTACTATATAGCAAATCTCTTTATTATATTCCCTGTATATAAAGTTGGATAAATATTATATCCAGATTTATCCACGTACATACTCGCATAAAGTGAAATAATCTATATAGCAAATTTTGCCTGCTTGATTGTTTATATCGTCACAAAATGTAAACTATATTATCGGCCAGTATTATATTTACAGTTATATATATAATACATCCAACTTTGTCTTTACATAAAGTACAGTCATGTAAAGCACTAAATGGCGAATGTCAACTGCTTGATTGGCAAAATGTAAACTATATTATTGCACAGCTCTATATATTAAGTTGGTTATATAAGTATATAATATATATAATAGCATATTATAAGTATATGTACATGAAGTACACTAACGTAAAACTAAATATATAGCAAATATCAACTGCTCGATTGTTTATGTCTTTGAATATTTAACTATATTATCACCCAGCTCTATATATAAAGTTGGATATATAGGCTAGTACGTCCAACTTTAACTGCATACATATTTGCGTAAAACAATATACTATATAGTAAATCTCAACTGCTTGATTGTTTATATCACACAAATCATGTATTATTGCCCTTTTCTAATCTGCCAAGTTTGACTATAAGGCATTAAAATATTAAACATCATGATTTTCTCTTGCTGCTTTGAAAAAAATGTGTATTGTGAAAAGGACACTACAAATAAAATTGAATTGATATCTTTAACCAAACGCAGGCAGTTAAGTTGAAACATAGCAGCTATCTCATCTAACGCCATCTCTAACCCAAGGACCACCGTAATGAGCATTCAGAGTCACTTTCAAATGAGTAGTATAAAAGTTAAGGTGCTGCGATCACATTTATAATGAACTCATTTACTCTTATACCCTGTTGATACTAGACATCATTATCATAATCTGCCGTGGGCTCATGAGAGTAACCCCAGAGGCCTCCTTCAAGATTAACAGTGTGAATTGACTGCGACTGTAGGGTGCTGGTGTGACTCAGCCGTCAGACACATGGCTTTGGATGAGGCCGGCAAAGCTGTCGCCCTTCAGCAGCTATTCCCGGAATTTGCAAACCAGATTCAGATTTCTCATCTTGTGTTCCTATAAGAGCGAAGGGCTCATGCACAGTGGCTCAGCTGACCTATTTGATGTGGCCAGCAACGGACTGTGGAACTGTGGGATACTTTGACTCATTAGCTGCTAGATTTAGCCCATAACAAGGATGTAATCGTGGCTAACCAAAAGAGTAACAAGTGCTTCTGCGTTTTGCATTTGCTAAGTGGCTGTGGAAAAAGAAACAAAGATGTTTGATTAGTCTGCCATATCACACATTCTCTTCATACAAAGATCAAAGTGTTCATGTTCAAATTTGCACATTAATGCACAATATTCAAAAAAAACTTTTTTATTGGATTATAAGGGCTGAGTGTTGACCGATTTCACAATTTGATTTGCATTCATGAGCTCTTAATTCAATCGGTTCATTGTTAATTCATTTAGATATATTTTCGATGCTGTACATGTAAATTCTTTTAAGGAAAAAATCTCTCAATTAAAGATGTAAACTATACA